AAAAAAAAAAAAAAAAAAAAAGAACCAACCTCTTAGTCCTCTCCTTATAAAGCACCCGATGTCCACACTCCTTACACCGAATCGGATCCCCCCTCTTCAACGGAACCTTACTATTACAATCCCCACACAGATAATTGATCGCCGGGCCATCGCCCGCGACGTCGCGGGTGGTGGATGGCGCCACGGTGGGGACTTGGTAGGCTTGTGACATTGTCGTTTACTTCCGTCGCTTTCTTTGCTTCTGGTATACTCGTTTCCGTCGCTCGGGTCTGCGACTGTGATTGATCAGGGTGGAGAGAGATGCTGTATGCGAGGATGTAGATGTTGCGCGGAGTTCGCGATGATCTTGGTGTATGTGTGTGGGAGAGGTTGGAAGAGGATGGATGGATGTTTTTGGAGGGGTACGGGTAGGTTGAAGCTTACGAGGCTGAGCTTTTCTTTCTTCAAGACGGCTTTGGAAGAAAGGGCGGCGGCGCTTTGCCTGATTTGGTACCTAGGGATTGGCGCGTACACCGCTTTGGAGGTATTAGACGTACCACAAGATTTCATTCACGATGTATTTGAGGACTTGGTATGGATTGCTGGAAGAAAACTGGTTTGTTGGTGAATACCTATAGTAATTCGTATTTGCGTCTCTCTCAGAGAACTTAAATTGCCTTGTACTAGCCAGCTACCTCAAGCCTTTCTAGGCACAGCCTCCCACCACCACATACAGAGTAGCATCTGAAAAACACAAAACACATCAAAGAGCACTCAAAAAGAATTTTTTCCATCAATTCATTCATATGTACTTTATCATTAATTCCCCATTGTTGAGCATCCATCCACCCAAAACCCCCCAGCCACAATAAAACATATTTGTTATTCCAGAAACAATTAACCCCTCTTCCTTGCAACACACCGCTTTTAAATGCCCCCTCCCATCCATATTACACGACGAACTGAATAAATCCTCTTATGATATCTCTACTCCTCCCCCATCACCCCTTCTCCTCTTTCCCGCACACTCTCTGCACTCAGAGGAATCCCAAAATGAAGCTCAAGCGGTAATACATCTTAATCAGATATGTCCTCCACCCATTGATTTCCCACTTTAAATTCTCCCTTCAATTCGAAAGCGAATAGAAATGAAGAATTACCCATCCAGAAAACCACATACGCGAAGCAAGTAAAAAATCCACGGAAAAACCAAATCTGGGGTATAACCTCCTCTGCTGAAGTTCGAATGAAAAAATAAAGAACAATTGATATGATGCTGGCTCGCTGAAAAGAAGAAGAATACGGGCGATTTGGTTGAACCGGGTGCCCAATAAAACGTCGAGTATAATATACAGGTTCGATGAATATGCCGATATCGAGATTAGAAGAGAGGGATTGATCATTAGGTATTACAGTATCGACGGTATCTTGCAATGACGAGCTGGTGGCACCTGGCCGAAAGTTCATCTCGGGTGTGAACAACGTGTTCGAGGTAGTCGTTATTAGTAGGGTTTGAGCATTTCTTCTCAGTAGAATAATGCCTCTTCATCAGCGAGGCCTGAAGAACCATTGGATTAACTTCAACTCTCGCCTATATATTGCGAAGGTAACTTACGACCATCAGGTCTCATCTGCTGGTTACTAGGCTTACGCTGGTTCGGAAGAACGCCGAACATACTGCTCTCTCTCCGCTTCGACTTGCTAGGAGGAGGGTTTTGGTACTGTTTTCCGCCGCCGAATTGGTCATATGCTGGTCCTCCCAGAGTAGGAGTCGACCTGCCATACTCCGGGCCTGCCATTGTCGGGAAACTTCCAATAGCCTGCATTCCAGATTGATCATACCCGGTTTGCATTGGTGCAAAGCCTGATTCGCGGCCAGGATTTTGTTGTTGACGTGGCTGTGGTTGGGGTGGGGCAGACACGGTAACTTCAACTGGAGAGTCGGATTGATCTTCTCCAAAGATTCCGCCATATTGTTGCAAGAACAAAGCAAAAACAGGAGCAGGGATATTCAGCGTGGGAGAGAATACGATACCAACGTTACGGACCGTCATCTTGTTGACGTCCGCATTGTTAATGATGTTGATCAGGAAGCCGGATAGGTATCTCAACAAGGCGTGATTTGCACGTGGAAGTCGGTGCACGAGTCCATTGAGAGCGCGGATTTTGTCGTTGAGATCCTGCAGCTCGGTGACAGCCAGGAATTCCAAGTGCAGTTCTCTAGTCAATATCGTGCTTGGCAATTCTCTTAGATACAATTTCAAAAGAGAGGCGACTGCATGAATATCGTAGTACTGTTCATCGGTGACCAAGTTCACATCTCCCTCCTGGTTGAAACGCTCACGTAGTTGTTTGATGACAATGTTGGACCCGCTAAGTCTGAAAATTCCTTCCTCGTTGACTGCATTTTTTGCATCGAGATATTCAATGCATCGATAGACCACAGCTGGCAGTTCAACCCTGATATCAGCTGGGTGGTTGTAACGAACTGCCTCTGACAAACCTGCCCCAAAAGCTGGTCGGATGGGGCCGTGTTGCTCGACAGCCATTTGAGACAGATTAGATTGTTCCGACTCTTGTTGTGATTCACTAGAAACCCGAGGCTTTGATCCAAATCCAAAGAAGCTCCGTTTCCTCGCCTTCTTATCCTCGGCGTTAGGGACTAGAAGGTTCGGCTTGTTACCCCAAGAGCTACCATCTTGAATAACCTGAGCATTTTTCGGTGCTGAAATGTTCTTCAAAGGCTGTGCTTGGTTCATTGGATCTCGTTCACGACCGTAGGTTGGCGGTGATGGAGTCCCCGATTGTTTAGACCTTACATTCTGTGGGATGCTGCCTTGCTTTGTCTTTTCGTAGCTTACACCGCGTAAATTATCCTCCGTTAGGTCCGGGAGGTTCTGCTGCCTGTCATGTGGTGGGTACGTCTTCTTGTTCGTCCTCATGCTACCTGAGCCTCCAGAGCCGCTTCGGGTGCGAGTAGCGCGCGGGGGTGCCTCGTCCTCTGAACCCTTGTAATTGACGTATTGCAAAAGAGCCCCCACCCATTCATCCCGCTCAGCATCACTCTCGGCGCATAGCACATGTCTTACCAGACTGCTCGAGTCTTTTCGCTTAGGCTCCAAGATCAAAAAGGCATGCCGATATTGGTTTTCGTTGTTTTCTTCAGCCTCTGCACGTGCGGGCGTATCAGTCTGTTGTTGCTGCTGCTGCTGCTTTCCAATCTGAGCACTGGGTAGCTTGATCGTGCCTAGATGAGGGCCCCCAGGAGATTCAAAGTATCTGAAAACTGGACCGTCCAGTACGAAATATCGAGCCTTCCATCCACCAAAATTCTTTCCTCTCTTAGTCAAATATCCATTCTTCAATGGTCGACCACCAGGACCAGTCTTGGCCGGGCTTTCGCTGGTCAAGCTAGGTGTGGAATCTTCCCCGTGAGGTGGGAATGTGTTTGTGGAGAGGTATTTGCAAACTTCAAGAGCTGAGGCTGTATCCATTTGGGTATTCATAACCTCGTCCAAGTAAGTGTCTAGAGCGACACGTCTTGCGTCCACTTTGGCAGGAGCATGCCCGCTGAACAGAGACCTTTCGGGGGTTTTGGCGGTAAAAGTGGGTGATTGCTTTAGGGTCTGGTCGAGTCGCGCGAGTGATGATGAATCTTTCTCGACTCTCCACAACTCTCGGCCTTCTGATCGATTGAAAATCGCAAGGGTGAAGACTGGATCTTCTTCAAAATTCTTTGGGAACATCAAACTAGCCCTTGAAGGCTTGAGTCGTGACGAGGCAACCTTGACCTCGATTGAAGGTAGGGCGTTAGGGGGAAGCAACAAGTCAGGATATTCTTCTGTAACTAGTGATCGGTCGATGGCGCCCGAGCTAGGACTTTGAGGAACAGGAGAGCCTTTGGGGCTGTCATCATTGGGACTGTCCCTGCCTTTCTTGCCTAGTGTCAAGGGCTTGGGTGACACAAGCTCGAGAGGTTCGCCTTTTGGAGGTAAGAGTGGTGACAATGGCCCGGACAATGGTGGCGATGTAAGAGACATGGGAGTTCCTGGTGGGAGTGGAATTGGTTGTCGAGGAGCTCGCGGTGAAAGAGGTACTGCACCAGGGAAAGCAGCCATTCCACGGGGAGATAATGGAGGAGAAGAAATAGAGGTAACTGATCCCACGGAAGCATGATTGGAATTGTTACGCGATGTTATTGGTCTTGGGCTTACAGGGAGTCCTGGTGTTGCCAGCGGAGCTGATAATACCCGCTCAGACACCCTATCCGACGCATCACTCAACACACCTGCTAGAGAACCAGAATTCTCACCCATTGGAGATAGATGGCGCAAGTGTGCATCTGGTGGTGCAATTGGCACCGTTGGGCGTGAGCTTGGGCTTAACGGCATTGGCTCTGCTCCAGCTGGAAACGTGCCTTCCTTTGGAGTGGTGGGCTTAGATTTGGGATTACGTCTGCCACTATTTTGGGCACTCCGTAATGCAGCCTGCTTCATAGCTGCCACTTCTCGCTCTCTTTCGTCATCCTCTCTGGTCTTTCGTCGCCCACGCTCGGAGAAATTTGGTATTTCATCAACTTCTAAAACATCATCATAATCAGAATCAAATTCTTCCCCGGTGGCAGAAGCCTGTCGCAGGTGAGAGCTTGGGTTACTTTTATTCCCTAGGTTTAAAGGTGCTGGAGGAGCTTTTCGTGGAGGCGTTGGAAATGTTCGTAGACCTTCGTCTGGATTGGGAGATGGCTCTATAAGGGTCAGTGTAGGTGGGCTCTGGCTCGACATTGGCGCTTTTGGAAGTGCTGGTAGACTACTAGGAGGCCCTCGAGGTGATTTTATGGGATTGCTTCTGGATGGAGGTAACGATGCATTATAAGGCACTCCCTGTTCAACATCTAGCGCAGGTGACTTTATGGGAGCTGCTTCAGTTGCATCAGGATTGTACTGCTGAAAGGCGTGTTGCGTCGGAGATGGCATTTTGTGTTGGGCTTCAACCATATTACCCAATGTAGGGGTTGCGGTCGCATATGCCGGTGGTGTAATTGGATAAGGTGCTAGGGCTACATCAATTGGAGATGGTGCGCGTTCTTTTGATGACTGGCTCAAGGTGGGGGAGACTTGGGCATCGGGATCACTTCCTCTGGAGACTTCCACTATCCTGGATTCCGAAGCAATTGATCCTGCTTCGGAGCCGTTCATTTCCTGAGTCGAATCCACGGGCGAAGGGTTCGCGATGTGTGCTAGACTTTCCTTCAATTTCTTTCGGTAACGCTCCTTGTCCTTCAATGCTCGCTCCAGATCCTTATTCAATCCCAGGATCATGGCCCTTTGCTTATCAACTAGCCTCCATAACTGCGCATTTTGTGCCGCCTGCGATTGCTTCTCCTTGAGCAGGTACTGTATCACACCCTCGGGGGAGCCAACCGTCTGTACGAGGCTGGCAATATCGGGGGACCCAGAAGACTTCATATCTTGCGAGGGTTTTTGCGAATGGGTGCCACTAGATAATGACGAAATAGCCGAGCCGATTGAAGACGTTCGTGGAGGAGGTCGAGCCATATCTAATTGATGTTGAGGGGCTGTAGCGGGTAGTGGTCTCGTGCCCTCGTGATTTATAAACCCTCCTGAGGGCTTCAAGACAGGATCAGAGACACTTCGAAAAGGAGCATTCGTGTCGTGTAGAGATGGACCGAATCTGTAAATTGGAATAAGTGGCCAAAAGATTCACTTGAGGGTTATTACCACATACCTTGAACTCTTCCCTTCCGAATTTTGCTCTCTATCAGTCGAAGAATCTCCTTCGGGTCGGTAGAAGGTTCTTTCGGAGGCCAGTAGATCGTCCAGACGCTCTTTTGGCGAACGGGGCCCCTCGTTGGAATTGAGCTGTTGAATAGACACCGGCGAGGCAAAGAAGTGATCCGCGCCGTTTCTGTCAAAGGTACTTCGGGTTGGCGTCACGCTGGTGGGCGGAGATGCAGTAGTACTCGTATGAAGAGGGCTTGGGGCCGCCTTCCGCTGGGACCTAGAGAGGGGAAACAATAGTATGAGCCAAGTACGGAGGCACGGTTGGAACAAGTGGATGTGGTGATGATGATGAAAATGATTCGGGTACAGGCAGGAGTAGGGTAATAGAGTAATGGAGCCGTGTAGCAGGTGAGGTAAGTCACAAGTCAGGCAATGGTGGTTGTGAATGTAGGGAAATGGTTGTGAGGGGACTGAGCTATGCGTACCTCTCCATGTCACTCGGTGGGTTAGTGTCGGTCGGTACTCTAGCTGAGACTTGGATACAGGCTATAGCACTGTACTCCAAACTCTACTTGGACGCACCTGTATCCGTAGCTACTACAGTAGAGTCGATGGAGAACTTTCGGCGGGCGGCCAAGGGACGCTGGTCAGTGGTGTTGGTGTTCAAGTGTTAGGTTGGCGCTGAATTGGATGCACTCAGACTCCTGCGCGCAAGCGGAGCTCTGCAGGTGGTTCACGGCGGTCGGGTAGTGCGGTCTGGGCTTGGGCTGCGGGAAGAGAAGAGGAGAGGGTTTCGGGAATGCGTGAAATGCGTGAAATGCTTGAATGGTTGGGAGGTCCTGTCGTGATGTCGCAGCAATGCATCAAACGACACGACGATGATGCTGATCCACGTTTTTTTGGGCGCTGGTCTGATTGCGCGGTGCAGTGGTTTTGGTCTGCCACTGGTGGTCGGAAGGAGAGCAATGGAAATCAGATGAGTGCAGGCACGGGCATAGGCACTGGCACTGGCAGAACTCCCGCAACGTCAACGTCTCCAAGTACCTGTATCCTGAGCTCAGGCTCAGGCGCAGGCTCGGGGACAGAGGCTCGAGAGAGGATCTCAGGAGATTCGCCTCATTACCTGTAGAGCCCTGGTGGTGGAGACGGTGGGCGTGGAGAGAGCACAGAGACGGCAGATTGGGTGGAGGGGAATTGTAACCGCCGTATGGGGCTAGAAGCGTGGGAAAGCTCTCGGTTCCTAGGCTAGGTATCGGTTGACTGGCGCCGGGATGCTGATGCTGTGCGGCAGTACCTTTTCAAGCAGTGGCCGTCGTTATTAGTGAATCATTGAATTATTGAATTATTGAATGATCGAGTTTCTATACTTCAACCGAATCAATGTGGCGTATTGGAAGTCGAGGAATTGCAGTTGATGCACAACCGAGGCAATATCTGATGAAGCTGGAGGTGGTGGAGGCAGAGCTACCTCGCTACCTAGAAAGCTCAAGATATCCGCAATAGGCGCTCTAGGTGCTGTACGAAGTGACACAGTATGGAGAGCCTCCGAGAGCCACAAATTTCTTACGTCAGCGTGCTGGTGTAGGAGTAGCAAGGGAAGTTGCAAGGGACTGAGCTAGAAGTGCTTCAATAGATTCAACGGCATGTTGATTCACAATGCGCTGGCTCAACTCTTTTTCATGACTCTTTCTACCTAAGAGGAGACTGCACTATTCACAACCACTCATTCTCTGTCATCTCATCTACTTCGTAAATCGTAAATCGTACATCGTACATCGCCAATCACTGCATCGCCAACACTTCATCGCCAAAACCCGCAATGGCAACAACAGTCAGGGCTCTTCAGGTCAAGCAGCCGTCAAGCTTTGGTCGTTCATGCACCAGCAGAGCCCAGTCAACCCCCGAGCGATCGAGGCTTTCCCGCTAAACCCCTGAGGGTCACCCATCATACTGTACAGAGCTGTATACTTCAGTAGTACGAAGTATGTCGGAATTACCTACATGTAACCCGTACAAGGTTCGCTTTATTCGACTACCGAACTATACCAGTACAAGCATATACAGGCCTAGCACGGCTCCTGGATGGCTACTGGATGGCGCACACCAACGCTGTGCTTCGGCTTCCACGGGCTCCCTTACGAGGAGTCAAGAAGGACAAGATAACGGAAGGCTACTCCTGCCATGTGGTGTAAAGAGCGGATCTTTGCACCCGTCCGACAGGGCGACAGAATTCGGCTTTCAAAACCAGGGACGGTACGGCACTATATCTTACACGACCGTCGAAATATAAAGTCGTTTGAGGCAAAGGTAAAAAGCCTGATAATACGTGTATTTGTACGGAGTACTCGTCTCTGGATCTACAGTACAAGTATACACCCTACGGAGTATTACCCCCTCAGAACTAGTTCCCAACCCCTGCAAAGCTTCTTTCGTCGACTTTCCCGGAGTACCTCAGAAGTCTGCTCTCGGAAGTAGATGGGGCCGTTGACCCTCCGGCAAATCTAGCTGTCAGCCTGCCAATAGTTGAACCGTGCCAGACTACAAATTAATTCAGGGACGCACGGCATACCAAAGTCTCTCGGGTTCGTCCCGATCCAAGATCATTGTCCATAATGTGTTCGCCTCCAGCCAAATTACTTCGAAGTAGAAGTTGAATTCTCATGCCAAGCGGGTGACTACGTCTGGATCGAAACATCAATCTGGCAAAGCAGCCACAACGAATACAAAGCCAGAACCTGGAGAAGCACGAGCCTAGGGCTGGGATTCCACATGCCGAGATTCGCTATCACAGGCGAACTACCTGCAGGATTCTGGTCATGGTTATCTGCATCCTGTAACCTCCTTTAGATTAATTAGTCCTTTTTAGTCTGCAGGTACCTGAGAAAACTATCACCCAGATGGTCCAACGGGAAAAGGTGAGAAAAGAAGGCCAGTCAGGGGCGGCCAGACCAAACAGACAACCAACTGCAACACACTTCGACGGCGACCGAAGAGATGGCCGATATGTTACTGTACCAAGCCGTAAGTAGGAAACGGTCTGACCTTTTTTTCCGTGCGCGATCTCCCAAAACATCTACAAATCCTTAGCATACGTCTTCTACGCCTTCCAGAAAAATCCAAAAGCCAACTCTTGCCGTTTGATACGGTATAGAATTTAGCGGGATTCCCAAGCCAAGCCTTAAATCGACCAGTCAAGCTTCGCAGGGGAGAATTTGCAACGGCTGCCGCATGAGGCTCTTCCAAACCAGGGACCGAATTACAGTAGTAAAGAAGCAGAAAATGCGTGAAACGGAAACAATTTCTCCAATCAAAACATAAATTACCTCAAGGAGAATACCCGGCTGACCTGACCGTTCGCCCTGACAAACCACAATGTGTCTCATGTGTGTTGTTCACCAACAAGGAGAAAAGCTAGCCACATAGAGGACCTTCATGCATGGAGCGCACCACAGCGAATTTTGCCGATTACAACCGAGCCCCTTTTCTCTGTCTCTCTTCTGAGTCTTCTCTCTAAACAAAAAAAAACTCGAGTATCGTCTGATAATGACGTCGTTCTCGAGTACAAAGCGCTCTATTTAGGCGAGTAAGAGGACCCCTAACATTAGGCCCCGGCGATAGCAAAAAAAGGGCCCCACCCCGTGACAAATCAGCGCTTGGAGAAACACAGTCGAAACAACATCAACCCAATAATACCATGAGGAGATCTCGAACCCCACCTCCGTATATCTCATCCCAATAACGACGCTTGACTCTTGGGCAATGGGAACGTTTACTTTCTATGATTCACGACGTAAATATTTACTTTCCTTGGCAAATGGTTAATCCTCTGATTCAAACAAAAGTCTTGGTTCTCTGACTGGTACTCGAGTACAAGTAAACACAGTAAGTGGACAAATATGGTCCGAGTGAAAAAAAATTAGCTTCGTGAACCGAGTAGGCGGTGGGCAGACGATCTTTGGATGAAGCTTATTTCTGATATTGATATTGATATTGATATCGATGGTCTGGGTACGGATGGCATAGATCCTCTTCCTGCTTGAATGCGTCTGATGAATTCGATTTACGATACCCCTCGGATTGAGATGGGAACTGGTAGATAGTGTACCCCTCTCTTCGTGAAAAATTGCCTTGTGAGTAAAGAGGTGGGATTCATACAGGGCCGAAAAACTTACCGTTTAAAATTACAAATGTCATACAGTACCCGCGAGCAAGTCTTGAAATAAGGCAGGGAAAAGGGTCTAGTATTATCAGAAGGGGGTAAGTATCTTTCCAACCACCTACTCACAGGACATAATAGGATAATTTCCAGTCTCTAATTTCCGTCCTTTCCTCTACGGACGAGTACACGGTTACACTCCATACTCCATACCATAGAATACCTCGGTCAGACGGGCTAGGCTGCTTTGCAAATGCCATCACAATAATTCCTACCAGTACCCCTCCCCTTCGTGAGTAATGCATCAACGGACATGACGGGATGGTTTATAATTCTTGTTCTGTACGGACTAGTACCAATACTCGAGTAATACGAGTATAAAGTACTACACCGATTGTAATTCTTGTAGAGAGTATCTAGTTGTAGAGTAGACCATCTTTGTGGGAAGTATGGTTAGTGTATGGAGTATGGTGTATGAGGGGAGGGAGTGGGTAGGGTAAGGAGGGTAAGGGTAAGGAAGGGTAAGGGTAAGGAAGGGTAAGGGTAAGGAAGGGTAAGGGTAAGGAAGGGTAAGGGTAAGGAAGGGTAAGGGTAGGACTAAGTCGTAACCAACCTAACCCACTCCACCTACCCTACTTTAAATTCCCTACTTTAAATTCCCTACTTTAAATTCCTAACCCTATGTAAATCCTAAATCCTAAATTCAAATCCATCATATCATATCATATCATAACATGAAACTCCCCTCCCTCTCCCCTCCCCCTCTCCTAACCTAACCCGGTCCGTGACCTCAGATCTGCGGTAATCTTACATAGAGAGAGAAGAAAAGATTGGCGTAAGAAAAATTTTTAAGGGAAAGGGAGAGGGAAAATATATTTACCCAAGATTACATGTCTTTACTATGGATACTACTGTAGGTACTAGGTATTGTACTAGGTGCTGTACCCCACTGATGGAAAGAAGGAAAGTATATACTCGTATGGTATGGTATAGTATGGTATGGTATGGTATGGTATGGTATGGAGTGGAGTATGGAGTGGAGTATGGAGTAGGTGTAACAGATTTGATTCAGCTTGGAGAACTCTTCTCTCCTCGCAGACAATCTAATCATACACCCTGACAGTAGGTACTTTATTCCTTACAAGCCGCCGTACCAGGCCAGGATGAAAGGCTAGGGTGGAAGAAAAAAATGAAAAAATGAAATTCCATGCTTAGGTAGGTATGGTATGGTAAGGTGAGGTATGGTGTTTGGAAGAGGGAGAGGGGAAAAGGGAGAAGAAGAGGGAGAGGGAAAGTTAGGGTATAGTAGTAGAATAGTAGTATTTTAGTCTAATCTAGTCTAATCTAGTCTAATCTAGTCTAGTTTAGTCTAGTTTAGTCTAGTCTAGTTTACTCGAGTAGTCTGGTTTACTCTGTCTGGTCCCTACTAGGAAGTAAGTACTATAGGAGTGAAAATTTTAGGTACGAGGAAAGTTCTTCTTAAACTCCACTTTCCTCTTGTTTTTAACGAGTATAGATATACGGGTGTATAGAATACTAGATACTAGATACTAGATACTGAAGCTGCGTCGGATTATATCTTACCTAGCGAGGTAGATTAGGAAAGGTTAGAGCTAGCTAATTACCGGACTAGAGGGTAGAGGAAAAGTTAAGAAGATTTTTGAGGGAGAGGTTTTGGGTGTGGATGGTAGATGTGGTGTGTTTTATGTGACGAGTATGAGGACCTTGTGGCTTAGCTTAGGTAGGTAGGTAGGTAGGTAGGTAGCTACCGGTAGGTATAGCTCAGGTATTTAAGTAGTATATCTATATACCATGGGAAAAGATGCATATGTGTAAGTAGTTAGCTGGCTGGCTAGCTGTTTTTTTCCCCTTCTTTTTTCCCATCGCGTTGTGACTTGTTTCTTTGGTTTTGAATATTGAGGAATGGGAGATTTGATGTAGTTCTTGGAAGTATTAGAAGATGGATGAATAGAAGGGGTAGGGGGTTCGTTAGTTGTGCAAGGGATGGAGATGCGATGGCGTTAGGCGAGTTATTCATATGGGGAGCTTATAAGTACCCCTATAGTAGAAGGTAGAAGTTATTATTAGGAATCCGTTTCCTTCGCTTTACTTCGAATATTTAATTTCCTAGATACCTATCACATGGCTACTAGCGCATTCCATATCTGGCTCGCGTTTTAACTAGCGTGTTCCTCAGTAGTTAATGGTTTATATACTTTACTACTAGGCTCCTTCGCTTAGAGTAAAATATTCTCAAGGGAGTCAACCAATACAGAATACTCGTGCCTAACACTGACTGCTCACTAAAGGAGCCACTAACCTAGCTATTATATCACAAATCTACGATATTATAACCTCCATCCATGAACCTCCCCCATCACCGGTAATTACCATTGCATTAATATAAAAGCAAAACCAGCGTGAGAAGATATTTGTAGTTAGAACGGAGGAACAGAGTATGAATTATATAGATATACAAGTCGCTAAGAGGAAGGAGTGGTTTCACGGGATGAATGAATGAAAACACCTCCCGGTATCTATTAAGTTACACGCTGTTTTCGAGGCTAATGCTGAGAGACTAATGATTCATATGGAACGTGTGGAAGTTATAACAGAAGGAGAGAGACTTTGTTGAGTATATATATATATGAGTATACGGGGTTAGATTTTGGGTGTAGAAACTTATCATTAATAGTGCGTGGACGTTTAGATATTACAATTACGGTATCTACTGAGTCTACAAGGGATTGGATACTCCCCAGGTTTTGCAAGAGTAACTCACCTTTCGTATTTTAGGTGTGATAGTACTTTTGTTTAAGTACTGAATAGAAAATACAATAGGGCTGTTAACCGATACTGCCCCCAAATCTATCATACAACATCCCTAACAACCCCAACTCTCCCACGTCCAGGTACCAGTCCCAACCTTAACATACTCTATCTACCATTAACTATAGTTTCCATTACCTACATACATCTACATACAAAACCACCACCACATACCCCATCCTTACATTTCACAACCAAGTTCCTAACCATCTCTCGGTCCTGAATCTAGAATCGGTTGATTCTTCTTAGAACCTGGAGGCGTTAACGTCTTCAGTACACATTCCTGCTGAGATCCATGTTCCGATTTTGTCGTATCATCCGTTGCACCACTTGTGGTAGTTGACTTGTTTTGTGATGTAGATGTCGAAGCCTTGGTCTTTCTTTGTCCAAATACCTCACCCGAATCTGTTGGATCAAGTTCCTGTCCTGATATCGCTCTTTTCTCCGCGTTGACTGAAGATATAGGATTACTTGGCAAGGGCATTGCCATAGGCCTTCCATCCTCAGACACTTCCTCTGCTCGAACACCCGAAATATCCCTCGAAGCATCTATACCCGATAAAGGCTTACTACCAAACCCAAGGACAGTGTAGTTTGCAAAACTACTACACTCAAAAGGCTTTGTACTCGAGCTGTTCTCTCCGTCTTTATCGCTATCGTGGTGTCTCTGAATCCCAGGGCTTTCGAGGGAACTTAGACCCTGTGGGAGTCGTAGGTTCGCTTGGATGCTGGCGACGAGTGCTTCCATGGGGTTTGGGTTTATTGAGATGTCGGGTTTGGGAAGCATGTTTGGGATTTGGGGGTGTACTTGGTGTCCTCTCTGGGTTTAAGGAATTATGGGGATGTGACTTTTTGTGGTGGATGGAGGGAGGGAGCTGGATGGAGTGAGTCTGTCATACTTGTTGTCTTGTGATTGTTCTTGGCGATGGTATTTGATGTTATTGGAGAGGTTGTGATTGGATTTGTGTGATGTGAATGACTTAAGAGCAAGAATATGTAATGGATTAGAGAGGGTAAAAATAGGTTGTAAGCTAATTCATACACGACTATTATCTTCTATTGTCCCCTCCCCGTGAAGAGCTTCGAGGATGGAAAAGATTTGAACTTTGGTCATTGTAAGATGCAGCATACCAGAACACTAGTATGCTCGATTCATCCGATATCCCTTCAATTTAAACCACTTGGTTACTGAAGAACCTTACGAAGAAAAGCTTAGAACGAAGATTGCTTGTTTCAAATTGGCATGAGAATCAAGGCTTCCACAGTGTAAAAATCATAAAACAAAGAGAGAGAGAGATAGAGGAAAAGAGGCAGAAGATCATCATCATGCCGGCAGATAAGATGGCTCCAGTAACAAGCTCTTCTTGGTCTTGTACTTCTTGTACAATAGTACCTACCATGCACTATAACGCACCCCCTGGAGATAGGCGAGTTTCCGGCTCTACTCGAGTACTTGCAACCTTCCTCATAACGGGATTTGAGAAAAATCCGTAAGTGCCACTCAGATCGGAATTATATATTGTGATCTTAACGAACAAGCTGGAAGCTAAATCTACTCAACAATTTCTACATATAGAGTACTCGTGCGTGGTGTTTTATAACGAAATACTCGAGTATACCAGTCAGAGAGTATCGAGGAAGCCACTTTATTGAATTGAAATAGTGAGAGAGGAGAGAAGCTAAGTAGAAAATGGGGGTCTCACGTAGGTTCCCCGTATTGTGGAGTGAGAATCTTTGATGCAATGATGGTGCAGGTGCCTTCCTTTTTTGTTTTTGGTGGATTCGAGTTCAGAAGGGAAAGTGTGGCAAGTGACCTCTAAAAAATGACATGAAACACATCAAGCATTTCTCCATCACTTCTTGACCTCTTTTACGGCCGAATCATCTTTCTTACTGGCCTTAACTCAAAAGTATTCTCCTACTAAGAGAAGGGCGCTACCGCTCCCAGCCTTCTCTCATCAGCTGCTTCACCATGATACCCCACCAGCTGCCTCTTCCCTATGGAGAGATTCAGCCAAGACCACCCCCGGAAAGAAAGCCGAACATTTTCCGTCATCACCCACCAAACCCAAGGCCATCACCGCCATCATTACCATCACCAAAAATGTATAAGTGCATGTAGTATTGCATACCTCTTTCATCTCACTCTCCTCCCATTCGCTAGCCTATTTTGCAATCCCCATCTTCGAGTCACGACCCATCTTATTGCCACAATTGCAAGTGCACGATTGGCTAGTTCGACAGCTCCTGGATGCGGGGTGATTAAATATCCTGGAGATTCCCGCTGCCAGCTTGCCGCCTGCGGGGTTAGGGTTGCTTAAGCTGGAAGGAGGACCGAACGAGAATGACGATACTTGATGATGATGGTGTAGCACTAGAGCCGGGGCGGGGAGCTCGCCCATATTCCTTTCGGTCAATTGCACTTGCAATTGTTGCGCCGAGGGCAGACGGAACTTTTACGTCGACTTTTGGTTTGCAAGGATAGACAAATCGAGTAGATCCGTTTTTCTGATTTTTTTTTATTAAGATCTGGTTGTCCCCCTTATCTATACTTCCGTCGGTCCTTTGGTTGTCTTCCTGTGTTTTGCTTTTAAGAGCCGTTGTGGTGAGAATTGATTGAGCAGTGATCAGTTCAGCAACCGGAATGATGAGTTCTCAAGAGGATATCAAGTCCGATAAGCTCTCACGAAGCAGCAACGAGAAAGAAGTCCTAGAGGAACAACCAGTCCAATCCCTCGGCCTTCCACCAGACCCAGATGCTCATCTGAGTCCCGAGGAGCGCGCAGCAATCGTTCGTTGACACTTCCCTCTCAGCTACTTCCTCATTCTAATATATCTACCAGGATCGTAAATTATTATGGAAATTGGACTTGACGCTCATTCCATGGCTCTGTATCCTCTACCTCCTCGCTTTCCTGGACCGAACGAACATCGGAAATGCGAAGATTGATGGGCTGGAGGCAGATTTGAAGATGACGACGGGCATGTACAATGCTACGCTGTCGATCTTCTTCGTTTCGTACAGTGTTTTTGAGCCGTTGACGAATATTCTGTTGAAGAAGATGAAACCGAGTGTTTTTATTCCTTTGATCATGTAAGCTTGAAATCCAGTGGCAACGAGGGGGCCTAAATATGGAGACGTAAGCATGAGGCTAACGAGTTAAAGGGTTATCTGGGGGTTGTGTATGACTTTTATGGGATTTGTGAAGAACTGGAGTGGATTAATGGCTGCGAGAGTGGGTTACTCATTTGCCTTTCCTTCTCTGGAATTCCTCTTTGATATTAAAGAAGGGTGAGATACTGACGAGTGATATTCTAGTGGTTCCTGGGTCTTGCAGAAGCAGGTTTATTTCCTGGGATCAATTACTATTTATCTTGTTGGTATAAGCGATCTGAGTTTGGTGTCAGAGCAGCAACTTTCTTCTCGGCTGCCGCCGTTTCTGGTTCTTTTGGTGGCTGTAAGTTCCCTACTTGATGTCACTCACATGCCTAAAGATTTGCCATTAACACTCCTTCAGTGCTGGCAGCAGCAATCACCAAAATGAAAGGGCTTGGTGGATTAGAAGGGTGGGCTTGGATCTTCATCCTCGAAGGTATCGCCACAGTCATCTTCGGCTTCCTCTCCATCTGGTACGTCCAGGATTTCCCAGACGATGCAACCTTCCTCTCAGAACAAGACCGCGCCCGTGTCATCCGTCGACTCAAAGAAGACCAACAATCCTCGGCCGAACACGAAGAGTTTAAAATGAAATATGTATGGATGGCAATAAAAGACTACAAAATGTGGCTTGGAATGGTCATATATATGGGCTGTGATATGCCACTGTACGCCTTCTCCCTCTTCTTGCCGAGTATCATAACCCAGATGGGATACACGAGTACCAGGGCGCAACTGCTTTCTGTCCCTCCTTATGCTGTTGCGGCAGTCTTCACGGTTGTTATTGGATTTGTTGCGGATAGGACGAGACAGCGAGGGTTGTGTAATATTGGTGCCTCGCTCATTGGAATTGCGGGGTTCGCTATGTTGCTTGGGAGTCACAATCCTCATGTGAAGTATGCGGGGACTTTTGTGGGCGCGCTGGGGATCTATCCTTGTATTTCGAATACGATTTCTTGGATGAGTAATAATATCGAGGGGACTTACAAGAGGGGTGTTGTATTGGTATGTTTTTCCATATCCTCTTTACCCACTCTTGGGAGATACAAATACTGACTTGGTCAATAACAGGGATTCGTTATCGGATGGGGAAACTTGAACGGTATTGTTAGTTCGAACATTTACCAGAAAGCACCTTTTGTCAGTGGACACGCGACGGTGTTGGCTTATATGATTGCTTGTCTCTTTGGGGGCAGTGTTCTTCTTAGGTTGTTGCTTGCAAGGGAGAATAAAGTTTTTCGGAGAGCTGGTGGGAGAGATGGTTGGGTGGAGGGGTTGAATGGGAAGGAGGTGGAGGCTTTGGGGGATAACAGACCGGATTTTTTTTATACGCTTTGATTTGTAGATATGGGTATGGTATATATGACGTAGTTGACCAAGAGGAGGAGGCAGTTATAATACTAGTAGAATATTAAGAGGTTGATATGTGTTTGTTAGATCATTTAGCAGAAGAGACGAATTGGTCGCGATCACGATTGGTAGAGTGTACGAGTGATACGATGGATAAGCTCCCAAGGACAATTACAAGGAAAATGTAAGTGAGAAATCATTACAGCGTGCTTACCGCATGAATCTACATCTAACAGTCTTGATCATAACAATGAGTTGTCCTTCTACTTATCCTAAATTTCCCCAAATCTAGTCCTTGTACACTCGTAGTGAGGATGGCTAGTAGCCGGGATAGCGGAGCGCCAATACTCCACGTCAGCCAGATTGATTGGCCCAACCCGTTTCTGTCACGATGGGGGATACGAGGAGATTACGAGCGGGGGAAATATGGGGAAGGAATTGCTTGAAATGAGAATATTTAGAATTTAACTTTTTTTGTGTTTTGTTTTGAAAATTGATCGTGGATTGTTTGAAATGGGATGTAGATGTATATTTAGATGGTTCTCTTCGACAGAAGCCACTTGAGAATGGACTTGGGCAATGAGTAGGGAGGAAATCCAAGAGGTGCGACTTGTGACTTGTCAATACCAGGGGATTGGGTTGTGTGCGCGCTTCAGGCAGGGGACTGTATGGGGAATACCCAGCCTAAGAATCGTACCCAATACCAAAGTTTCGGGGTACGCGGACGACCGTGAGACCTCTCATTGAAGGCGAAGGCGAGGAGTGGAGCTTTGGCGTTGGTGTGTCTATTATGCCTTCCGCTGTACCGTCGTAGGTTGTCTGCTGTAGGGAGCTGTAATAGGCAATTGTAATGTAGCACAATGCATTTTTACATGTTGGTTCCTGAATCGCCAACATCCATTATCGTTGCTTGCGCTTCTGGACTGATACAACACTCGTTCCCATCTCAACTCTCGTTTTTCTTTTCTTGATAATGTGTCATTGATGGAAAAAAAGCCTTCTGGAATGGAAGACTTGAGGAATGAGCACACGGACATTGTCAGATAGAGCGAATCAACAAACCAGCGCAACCAGAGCATCAGCGGACCCGCTCTAAGGTTATTCCAGGCTGTCCAGCTCTCGCCAGCCACGGAGATCACTAGTGTACGAGTAGTCATCCTCCACCCCCGGACCCTGGAGCGTTTGGCGACCAGCAACACTCTTTTGCAAAACCTAGACATCGGATGAATGGGAAACAACGACGCGGCCAAGTTTTTTTTCGTCTGTTGATTGAGAATTGGGTGTTGAGTGTACGCGAACGAGGATTGAGACGTATGACACGACACGCACCGATTTTATTCCTATCCAAACACACCGAGCGAGCGACACTGCGCTGGAAACCCGAGGAAGGAGAAACAGCCGACGGATTCAGCGATTGAGGAGGCCGAGGGGTGCGAAACATTGGTGATTGTTTCTTGCTTTCAACCACATCCGGATCTGCGAGGGATTGATCATTGGAAGGAGGAAACGTTGAGCATAAGCATTTGGAAAACCTACGACGACAGCGGTTGAGAGTAATCAGTACAGGAACCTTTATTGAAGCGAACGAGTGTTGGATTTGGTTGAACATATACTGGATAATTCGGCACTTTCGCTTGCACAGTCGGTCGCTACCTTCACTTCGTCATAAAGAATATAATTGAAACCAGAGAAGAGGGAGCTTGGATTCACTACAACAACGGTACGACGACAAACCGTTGGTCATTCACCCTTCTTTTTAACTAATCAACAATCACCACTACTGCGTCATTGACATCACCAATCACCAACGGATATACGTTTTGAGGACAATAGAGGTCGGAAGGCCAGGCTCATCAAATACCACAATCCTCCTTGGGTCAATCCATTCATTCCGATCACAGCCGCCAAAATGCTATCCTTACCCACCACCATGGCGACTCTCGTCCTCCTGCTCACCAATCTCACACCTACCCACGCACAGCAAGCAGCAGATGGAGTAATCGTCCCTTTCACCTCCCAACTCCCAGTTTGCGCCTCCAAGTGCGGTCCCCTTTACGATGTACAAGGAGGATGTACCGACCCAGCAAACGCAAACACCTGTTTCTGTGCTGACGCCCGACTGGTATCTTTTAATACGGGTGGTACCGCTGCGGTAAGCTCAGTCTGTGGACCAACTTCATGTACGACACCAGAGGATTTGGAGAAAGTTAGGACTTGGTACACGGGATATTGTGCGAATGGTGGGAACAGACAAGCTACTCCTGCGGATCCGACAGCACCAGGAGCAGCACCAGGAGCTACGGCGGGTACGGGATCAACTACTGCGGGGAGTGATGTAACTAATGGACTTGGATCGAGGCCTTCCTCTGGGACTGGTGAAGGTCGTACTTGGTATATTCCCCCTCCTACCCCAACTCATCCGGACGAGTAACCCCAAGAAACCAAGAAACTCATAGCTAACCAAACCATCAAAAACAGGCTAGAAGGCCACTGGAAATGGGTCATCATGCTCGTCATCCTTGTCGTCGCCATCGTCGGCGGCTGGATCGGGGCTTGCATCTGGCGGCGCGCCTACCTCCGCAAACGCGAGCGCGAATTCGAGCTCCGGCCCCCCGTCATCCCCTTTGCGCCCTCGCAGGAACACCATATCCCCAGCTTGCAAGGGACGCCGTCGGGTCTCCAGGCTGTCTACGGACCCGGGGTGGGGATGGGTGCGGGTGGTCATCTGAAGGAGTTGAGGAGTGCGAGTACGGTTGTTGATACCCCATCGCAGCCGTCGGTGCGGGGGGCGGGGGG